GGACATCATTAATTTCAGGCCCTCATCAGTTTGGGGACATCACTAATTTGGGTCCCTCGGCGATTTGGGAACATTAGAGCTTTGCAACATTTAAATTCCCCCTCCAAAGAATCTTCATCCATCTGCCCCCTTCTCCCTAAAATCCAGACCCCAGTGAAGAAAAGGGGGAGTGGGGATGTTTTCCCACGGGAAAAGTGGTGAGAATGGTCTGGTGAAAGGGTTAAGCCAGGGCTGGATCCTTGAAACAGTCCCAGTGGGATCAGCTCCGGCTTTTCCAACCCTTGTCTGGATGCACAGGAATATTTAGTAGGGGGGGAGAAGGAAAAAGGGGAATGGGAAAGTGAATTCCCCAAAAACTACCCATCCAGGTGATGCTCCAGGAATGCTCGGAGTTTTCCAAGCCTATTCCTGGCGAAATTGCTGGCAAAACTGCTACTAATTGAAAATTCCCAAAGGTTTCCCAGGAGCATCCCGGTGCAAACTGTTTTCCAAAGGGATTTGCAGCAGAAGGAGCAATCCCAGAGCCTGTGTAAAGCACAGTGGGACGGATAAACCAGATCCCAAATCCGGGTGGAGAACACAAGCACAGACCCAACATCCCCATCCCTGAGACGTTCCCTGGAGCTCATCTCTTCCCAAAAAGGCCACACGTGAGCTGAGAGCTCTCTTGCAAAGCCGGAGCCCTCCGGGATCCGACCTTTGCTCCGAGCGACACGGCTCCCACGGGAATAAATAGGATAAACTAGTGCTGGGAACTGGTTTTCCCCAAATTTCCAGCCTGGCATGATGGCTGCAAAACCCCTTTTCCCGGCCCAGCTCGGCTCTGTCGTGCAACAAGTCCCTGCCAAGCCCACGGCAGGGATTTCATTCCGGCAGGAGCCTCTTTCCTCCCACCCTCCTCCTCCAGCCCCACCATCCATGGGATTTGCTCCTGAGTAATTTTAGCTGTTCCCGTCGCAGCCCAGAGCTGAAACATTCCCAACAAAGACATGGAGACGAAGGCACTGCTCCAGATTATCCGGGAACATCCTGGGTGATGTCCTGCAGGTGACACCGGGATGCGCCGGACAGGAACAAGTCAAACCCCAGCTGACCCTTCATCCCACCCATCACCCCCATGCTTTTTTTGGAGATGTCAGACATGTTTTGGGGCGATTTCAGGCTGGAGGAAAAAAAAAATCCCACCTCAAGCCTCCAGGGAAACCCCTCAAGATAGACAAATTTAGTAACTTTTATTAGTAATGCTTTAAATGAGATTATTCCTAATCTGCAGTGTTCGGCCAGGAGACAGCCTGCCAACTCCAGGCTGAGTTGTTCATTTCCCAACGCTGGGAATGCACCAGGGATGAGCAGCATCCCATCCCATCACCCTCCAAAAAGGGGTTTTGGGGGTCTGGTGTGACCATTCCTACCAGGAATAGAGTTTTCTTTGGGGTTTATTTCAGGTTTGTCCCCTCAGAGCTCAGGGAGATGGGTCAGAGCACCCTCCCCTCTGGCAGCCCTGGCCTTGGGTTTGGGCAGACACCGGCAGCTCTTGAGGCTTTGCCGGGTATTCCATGGAATTAATGAGAGGGTTCTCAATATGTTAATTAGTTATGCAAATGAGAAAGGCATCCAGAGCTGCCTGGGAGGGCAGGAGAGGGTCCAGTAGTGTCACAGGATGGGGAGCAAAGAAAAACCTTGACCTCTGATATCTTCCCTCCTCCTCCTCTCCCAAACCCTCTGGATGGGGATGCACGGAAATGGACCCCAAGGGAGGCTGCAGGAGCTCGGCTGCAGCGATGGAGGTGCAAGGGGAGATGCCAGTTTTCCCGGGCCCAGCTGAGCCGGAGGAACTGGTGGAACTGGTGCTGGGAAGGGGCTGGCAGCCCGGCCAGCTCCGTCTGCCAAACCACCCCGGGAAAGGCGCCGGGACGTGGGAATCGTGACACACCCCTCGCTCGGCTGCCGGCACCGCCAGGACCCGCCTGGAGCAGGCAGGGACCCACTGGCACTTGGATTCCCAGGGGGATCCCGCCACTGCCGGCCCCGGCTCCGGCAACATCCTTATAAATCACCTCCTTTAGCACACACCCCGTGGAAAAGTGTCCTGGACAAACCCTCACCACCGGCCGCGTTCGCTGGCGCTTTGCCAAGGGCAAAGTCTTTCCCCGGCCCTACCATGTGCCAAATGCCAGCCGAGCCACCTGTCTCCATGTCCCCACCGCCCCATCCCACCATCCCGAGGGCAAAACCTGCCGGACACAACTCAGAGGCGCAAGGCTCAACCCCCGCGACACCCCCGAAAAGCCAGGCAGCAGCAAATTTTGGGGTGGCAAAGCGCCAAAAATCAACCCTCGAGCAGATGTTCCTCCCTCCCACCCCTCCAGCTGCAGACCCCACAGCTGGAGCAGCCCCCCCTTCTCCACGTCTCCTGCGTGGGCATGACGGGCACGGAATTGAGAGATCCCAGTTCCAACCACCCCGGCCGGTAAAACCGGCGTTGGAAGGCGTTGGAATTTTTGGTGGAGAAAACGCCAAGACTTGTTAGCCCGGTGATGCTCCCCTCGGGCACGGCTCTGCTCTCCCCTCCCTGCCACCCCCTGCTTTTTGGAGGATCCCCCGACGGCTCCTGGGTGGGTTTCACGCAACGTTTTGCTCTTTTATATCAAGAAATTCCAGGAAATTCAGTGTAAAGGTGGGTTTTGTCCCGAACATCCCACGGCGGTGTTTTGGGAACACCCCAGGGATGAGCTGAGATTTTTTTTTTTGGGGGGAGGTGGAGGTTGAAACATCAAAGCGGCTTTTAAGGCAGCAGAAAGTCCCATTTCTCAGGGAAATACCCTTAAAAAAATAAACCCATCAACCAACCAAGAAGGGGCTTTCCCTGCCCACCCCGACAAGCCCCCTCCAAGTCACTGTGGCATCGCAAAGAGGCCACGAGTCACCCCAAAAAGGTGAAGGTGTGGGAAGGAGGGGGACGGGCACGGGGGGCTCGGGGGGACTCACCTCACGGCAAAGCCTCTCCATCTAAGTTGGGGGGTGACCGTCAGATCTGGGGGCTCCCCCCGGCCGGGGGGGACGCGGCGGCCGG